TCGTCCTCTTTTGATGGGCAGCATGGTTGCTTCCATGTTCTTGCTATTGTGAACAATGCTGCGATAAACATACGTGTGCAGGTATCTTTTTTATAGAGTGATTTGAGTTCTTCAGGATATATTCCCAGTGGGGGGATTGTGGAGTGCTCTCTGCTTTTAAAGGCTCGTATGATTAGATCAGGCCCATTCAGACAATCTCCCATATGTCATATAATGTAACATCATCACAGATGTAATACTGGGAGATGAAATTCATGGAGGCCATCTTAAAATGTTGCCAGGTAAAGCAGGGCTTTCTTTTAGTACAAGGTAAATATGAAGCCACAACACCTTGGGGGTTCTGTATTTGGAAACAACGAAAAGCAAATGCAAATGCTTGAAAGTTCTGCTGCATTTCAGTTTCATCTCATAAGGAGCTGGCTTTCCCTTGGTTGTTACAAATGGGCAGTAATTGTAGATTCTCAGAATAATCCATGTAAAAATCTCTCATTTTTATTGTTTTTTTTTTTCCCTAGAGACAGGGTCTCAATCTGTCACCCAAGCTGGATTGCGAGGGCATGATCATAGCTCACTGCAGCCCAGCTCCTGGGCTCATGCAATCCTCCCATCTCAGCCTCCCGAGTAGCTGGAACTACAGGTGAGCACCACCACATCCTGCTAATTTTGTCATTTTTTTAAGAGATGGGGTTTCTTTACATTGCTCAGGATAATCTCAAACTCCTGGCTTCAAGCAACTTTTCTGCCTCGGTCTTCTAAAGTGTTGGGATTATAGGTGTGCCCAGCATAAAATCTGTTATAACATAGTAAGGGTATGACATATAAGGGCGTTAGTTCACCAGCCCTGCATTTTAGGAGAATTCAAAAAGAAGGCACTTATCTGGTTTAACTCACCATAGTGACATGAGTTGGGCTCTGAAAAATCTAGTTTTGTGAAGATTGGTCTTGATATCTAGTGTAATAAGATTTTGAGAGTTCTCTTAATCACAACCCTTGATCAAACTGATCACATTAATCTGTATTACATTGTGTGATTAGCAAAAGTAATACATTCCTCGATTTCTTCAGAAACACGCACAGATAGTGAGGCACTCTACTGTATTACAGAGGATGCATAAAAATATAAAGCACCGTGTCTGCCCTATAGAAGTTTCAAAAGTAGCAAATAACCGGGCTCGGTGGCTGAACCTGTAATCTCGCGCCTTTGGGAGGCTGAGGTGAGTGGATTGCCTGAGCCCGCGGGTGCGAGACCCGCCTGGGCAGGCGAGACCTCATCTCTACAATAAAAATCAAAAAAATCAGCCGGGCGTGGTAGCACGAGCCTGTAATTCTGGCTACTAGGAAGGCTGAGGCGGAAGGATCGCCGGAGCCCAGCAGGTCGAGGCTGCGGTGGCCAGGAGCGGCCCCTGCACTCCAGTCTGGGCAACAGTGAGACTCCAACTCAAAAAAAAAAAAAAAAAAGTAGCAAATAGATATTAATGCAGCAAATGTTTGTATGATAAAGGACACATGAGTAGTACTCATTCCACAAACACATTTTGAGCGCTTTCTACATTTGAGGCACTGTTCTGGCATGAGGGTTTCAAAAGGATATTGTGTAGCATGATAGCTAGTGGTTAAAAGTATGATTTTGGAATCAAATTGGCTCATGTTCCAATGGTTCCATCCTTATGAAGGTTACTTAAGTCTATTTTTTCATCTGCAATATATGAATGATAACAGACCCTACTGTGTTGTGTTCTTGTGAGCGTTAACGTGGGTGGGGAAATGTTTAGGAAGCACTTAGCACAACTCCTGACACTTTGTTATTATTATCAGCATAGGATGCCCACATTCTAGTTTTGTAAGGAGAAAAAGAGAACATGAGATATATTGTCATAGAGGTATAGACACAATGTAGGAAATAGCAGTAAGAGATATGGTTGTATAGATAAGGTAGAGATGACTTTTGGATGATACCATATTAGAAGTTGGATCTGAACGCTCCTTGGGAGCTAGCCAAAGTTTCTTTGAGAACAATCACAGAAACAGAGAACTGAGTACCACATGTTCTCACTCATAAGTGGACCCTGAACATTTACTATAATACAATAAGAAAGGAATTGGCAGTAGTGGGAGGGAGGTGGGGCACATAGCATCAGTAAAAGTACCTGATCTCAAACCAGGAGAAATGGCGACGAAAGGGAGGTTCAAACTTTACCTGTAGGACGACCACCTGTATACCTAAATTTGAATTGTACCCCACATCTTTAAATAAATAAATAGAGCCAGGCTCGGTGGCTCAGCCTGTAATTCCACGCCTTTGGGAGACTGAGGTGAGTGGATTGCCTGAGCCTGCGGGTTTGAGACCCGCCTGGGCAACTTGGCGAGACCTCATCTCCACAATAAATCAAAAATTAGCCGGGCATGGTAGCGCGTGCCTGTAGTTCCAGCTACTTGGAAGGCTGAGACGGAAGCATCGCTGGAGCCCAGCAGGTCGAGGCTGCGGTGGCCGGGAGCGGCCACTGCACTCCAGTCTGGGTGACAGAGTGAGACTCCAACTCAAAAAATTAAAAATAAAATAAATAAATAAATAAATAGAAGAGTTATGCCAATAGGTTGATGCTCTCTTGCTATGCCATAGACCTGGGATAAACCATAGCTGTGGTCCCGCTTAGACCTATTGACTAATGCCCTCTGCAAAAGCTTCCCAGGTCTTCTCATCATCATAACCTCAGATAGCTTCTTCTTCATCTTCTATTAGCACCATGAAGCTGAACACGGTAAAAAAGTAAAATCCACCGGGTTCGGTGGCTCAGCCTGTAATCCCGCGCCTTTGGGAGGCTGAGGTGAGTGGATTGCCTGAGCCCACGGGTTCGAGACCCGCCTGGGCAACTTGGCGAGACCTCATCTCTACAATAAATCAAAAAATTAGCCGGGCATGGTAGCGAGCCTGTAGTTCCAGCTACTTGGAAGGCTGAGGTAGAAGGATCGCTGGAGACCAGCAGGTCGAGGCTGCAGTGGCCGGGAGTGGCCACTGCACTCCAGTCTGGGCGACAGAGTGAGACTCCAACTCAAAAAAAAAAAAAAAAATTAATTAATTAATTAATTATTTTAAAAATGAGAGACTTCAACACTGTCAATTTCATTATGGAATACCTGGCAAATACTGTTACTCTAATAATGTGTTTCTATTTTTTATTTTCCTTAGGAAAATATGTCTCTTTGGTCTTCAATTCTGATCTGCCTTTTCCTGATAATCTATGGTTCCTGTGAGTTCCTCACTGTAGTAAATTATTCTAGAAACTATCCTTGCGATGAGAAAAAGAAAAATAACTCTGTTATTGCAGAATGTAATAATCGTCGGCTGCAGGAAGTTCCCCAAACAGTGGGCAAATACGTGACAGAACTGGACTTGTCTGAAAATTTCATCACAAACATAACGAATGAATCATTTCAAGGGCTGCAAAATCTCACTAAAATAAATCTAAACCACAATCCCAATGTACAACACCAGAACGAAAATCCTGGTATGAATATTGCAGACGGGGCACTCCTCAACCTAAAAAACCTAAGGGAGTTACTGCTTGAAGACAACCAGTTATCCAAAATACCCGCTGGCTTGCCAGAGTCTTTGAGAGCACTTAGTCTAATTCAAAACAATATCAATTTCATAACTAAAAGTGACACTTTGGGACTTACAAACTTGGAAAGTCTCTATTTGGGCTGGAACTGCTATTTCAACAAAGTTTGTAATAAAACGTTTGACATAGAAAATGGGACATTTGAAAAGCTGATGAATTTAAAGGTGCTGTCACTATCTTTTAATCCTATTCTTCACGTGCCACCCAAACTGCCAAGCTCCCTTCGCAAACTTTTTCTGAGCAACACTCACATCAAAAACATCAATCAAGAAGACTTCGAGGGATTGCCAAATTTAGTGTTACTAGACTTAAGCGGTAATTGTCCAAGGTGTTACAATGCACCGTTTCCATGCAAGCCTTGTGATGGAGATGCCTCAATTTTCATACACCCTCTTGCTTTTCAAAAGCTGTCCCAACTTCAATATCTAAACCTCTCAAGCACTTCCCTCCGGGAGATTCCCGAAATCTGGTTTAAAAACATGCCCCATCTGAAGGTGCTGCATCTTGAATTCAACTATTTAGTGCACGAAATAGCCACTGGGGCATTTTTAACGAAGTTGCCCCATCTACAAGTACTTGACTTATCTTTTAACTATGTAAAGGGAGCCTATCCACAATATATTAATATTTCCAAAAATTTCTCTAAACTTTCCTCTCTCCAGGCATTGCATTTAAAAGGTTTCGTGTTCCAGAAGCTTAGAGAAGAAGATTTCCAGCCCCTAATGAAGCTTCCGAACTTATCGACTATCAACTTGGGCATTAATTTTATTCAACAAATTGATTCTACTCTTTTCCAAAATTTCTCCAAACTGAAAGTTATTTGCTTGTCAGACAACAGAATATCACCCTCGGTATATAATACCCAGCAGAATGATGCACACGGTTCCTCTGTCCGAAGTCACATCATTAAACCACGCTCCGCAGATACAGAGTATGACCCACATTCGAATTTTTATCATCAAACCCATCCTTTAATAAAGCCACAATGTACCGCTTATGGCAAAGCCTTAGATTTGAGCTTGAACAGTATTTTCTTCATTGGGCAAAAGCAATTTGAAGGTTTTCATGACATTGCCTGCTTAAATCTGTCTTCAAATAGCAACGCTCAAGTGTTACGTGGGGTTGAGTTTTTAGGCGTGCCTCACATCAAATATTTGGACTTGACAAACAATAGGCTAGACTTTGATAATGTTAGCGCTTTCAGTGAATTGTCCAAATTAGAAGTTCTGGATCTCAGCTATAATTCACACTATTTTAAAGTAGCAGGAGTAACACATCATCTAGAATTTATTCAAAACTTAACACAGCTAAAAGTTTTAAACTTGAGCCACAACAACATTTATACTTTAACAGACACATATAATCTGAAAAGCAAGTCTCTGAAAGAATTAGTTTTCAGTGGAAACCGCCTTGATGCTTTGTGGAATGATGAGGATAACAGGTACATTTCTATTTTTAGAGATCTCTCGAATCTCACACAGCTTGATATATCCTTGAATAAACTTAAGCATATTCCCAATGAAGTGTTCTTTAATTTGCCGCAGCGTCTCACTGAACTACGTATAAATGATAATATGCTAAACTTCTTTAACTGGACATTACTTCAGCACATTCCTCATCTCCGTTTGCTTGACTTAAGTGGAAACAAGCTATTCTACTTAACGAGTAACCTGTTGACCTTTACATCTTCCCTTCAGACTCTACTGCTGAGTAAAAACAGGATTTTCCACCTGCCCTCCGGCTTTCTTTCCCAAGTCAGCAGTCTGGTACACCTCGATTTAAGTTCCAACCACCTAAAGATGATCAACAGATCCACACTTGAACCTAAGACCGCCAACAACTTAGCTCTTTTGGAGCTACATGGCAACCCTTTTGACTGTACCTGTGACATTGGAGATTTTCGAAGATGGATGGATGAACACCTGAACATCACAATTCCTAGGTTGATAGACGTCATCTGCGCCAGTCCCGGCTATCAAAGCGGAAAGAGTATTGTGACTCTGGAACTAATGACTTGTGTTTCGGATACCATTGCAGTGGTATTATTTTTCTTCTCATTCTTGATTACCACCACGGTTATGTTGGCCGCCTTGGCTCACCATCTGTTTTATTGGGATGTTTGGTTTATCTATCACATGTGTTTAGCTAAGGTAAAAGGCTACAAGTCACTTTCCACATCTCAAACTTTCTATGATGCTTACATTTCTTATGATACCAAAGACGACTCTGTCACCGACTGGGTGATGAACGAGCTGCGCTACCACCTTGAAGAGAGTCAAGAAAAAAATGTTCTCCTTTGTTTAGAGGAGAGAGATTGGGACCCCGGATTGCCCATCGTTGATAACCTCATGCAGAGCATCAACCAGAGCAAGAAAACGATATTCGTTTTAACCAAAAACTATGCCAAAAACTGGAACTTTAAAACAGCTTTCTACTTGGCCTTGCAGAGGCTAATGGATGAGAACATGGATGTGATTATATTTATCCTGCTGGAGCCGGTGTTACAGCACTCTCAGTATTTGAGGCTGCGGCAGCGAATCTGTAAGAGCTCCATCCTCCAGTGGCCTGACAACCCCAAGGCAGAAGGCTTGTTCTGGCAAAGTCTGAAAAATGTAGTCTTGACGGAAAATGACTCACGGTATAACAATCTGTATGTTGATTCCATTAAGCAATGCTAACTCTTTAAGTCATGCTTCCACACCTTGATAAAAATGCGGTGGAATGACATTTCTGTGTTAGTTATCTATAGCTGTATAACAAATTAGACCAAAACGTAGTGGCTTAAAACAACACATGTTTGCCAGCTCACAGTTGTTGTGGGTCAGGAGTCCAGAAACAGCATAACTGAGTCTTCTGCTCAGGGTCTCTCAGAGGCTGCAATGTGGGTTAAGGTCCATGTCCAAGCTCACACTCAGGTGGTTGTTTTCAGAATTGTTTCTCCTGGGCTATTGACCAAAGGCTGGCTGCTCTCAGTTCCCTGCCATGTAGCTCTCTCCCACAAGGCAGCTTGCTTCATCAGAGGCAGTAATAGAGAGAGGTGGCCAGCAAGATGAAGTCATAATCTTTGGCAGTCTAATCTGGGAAGTTATATCCCATTATTTGGCCATATTCTATTTGTTAGAAGTAAACCACAGGTCCTGCCAGCTCCGTGGGAGTGACCACCTCAGTCCAGAGAAAACAGCTGAAGACCAAGATGGTGAACTGTGGTCTCCCCAGATGATCATCAACTGTTTTTTCTGGCCTGCAACCTGGGGACGATCTGCCATCTTAATCATAGATTGTGAATATCAGGAGACAGAGATCATTGTGTGCCATCTTAGCAGGTGGCTTAATACACCTTCTTTTCAATGTCTAAGAACTTTTGCTATTGTGACTAATGGCTCTGATATTAAGCTGTTGTTTAGATTTATCATATATCTATGGCTACGTGGTTCTATTATGTTGTGGCTGCATTAGTCGTTTTTAAAAATCTCTTTTATAAATATTATCTATAACATTGGATTTCTAAGGTTTAGATACCATTTAAAGGCTAAGATTGATAGTTTTTAAGGTCTTTTACTTTTTAACCATTTTTAAAAAGAGTATGCAGCTCAATAAGAAGCTTTAGGAGTATTTGTTAATTGCCATTACTGTAAATCTTGAAATGAATAAATAAAAATGCTTCGTTTCATACTGTGAGTTTATGATGAACATGTGGTAGAGAAATAGACCTGTGATAAAAAGAAATTTCCATCTACACTGTGTTTTTTGAGAATTAAAAATATATATATTTGGTAGAAATCAAAGAGGAAGCAGTTTTCATGAAGCTCTTACATTAAGATAATTATTAATAGAGAAATTAACGCTATCTTGATCTTCTACTCTAAAGGCATAAAGTTAGAATGCCTAGTTGTTGGCAGCCTGTATTCAATTTCACCAAATAAAACAACAGGCTATCTCTTCCCACTTCTACTGGTTCCTTGATTCCTGTCTATAGCATACTCTATCCAGTATAGGTATGAATTGGGGCATCTTATGGAATTTACCTAAGAATTACTAGAAATTATCCAAGCATAAGAAAATAAATTCCCTTCAGAATGAAAACAACAAAAACCTCCAATGCACCATTCTTTCTGAAGTAAAGCTTTTTTTTTTTTTTTGAGTTGGAGTCTCACTCTGTCACCCGAACTGGAGTGCAGTGGCCTCTCCTGGCCCCCGCAGCCTCGACCTGCTGGGCTCCGGCAATCCTTCCACCTCAGCCTTCTGAGTAGCCAGAATTACAGGCATGTGCTACCACGCCCGGCTGATTTTTTGATTTATTGTAGAGATGAGGTCTCGCTGCCCAGGCGTGTCTTGAACCCGCGGGCTCAGGCAATCCACTCACCTCAGCCTCCCAAAAGCACAGGATTACAGGCTGAGCCACCGAACCCGGCTTTTTTTTTGGAGTTGAAGTCTCACTGTCGCCCAGACTGGAGGGCAGTGGCACGCTCCGCCACCACAGCCTCTACCTGCTGGGCTCCGGCGATCCTTCCACCTCAGCCTTCCAAGTAGCTGGAACTACAGGTGCGCGCTACCACGCCTGGCTAATTTTGATTTATTGTGGAGATGAGGTCTCGCCAAGTTGCCCAGGCGGGTCTCGAACCCGCGGGCTCAGGTAATCCACTCACCTCGGCCTCCCAAAGTGCGGGATTACAGGCTGAGCCACTGAGCCCGGCCTGAAGTAAAGCTTTTAAGTTAATCTTGCAGGATGAGTTATATTTAAGTATGTGTTCTTAAGGAACTGACCAAAATGGTGTGTCATAGTGTTATTTAACATGGACAATGTGGAAATCAGTGCAAGCTTGCCGAGGGCAATTTAGTTTTGTCACATTGCATCGTGCTTTGTGACCATGATGAGTTTATAGGAATATATTTATGTTTGTGCTTGTTGGAGCATAGGGACAAATACCTAAAAGCAAGACCATTCCTTGAAAGGACACCCTAAAAAGAGTGGTGGGAAGTTGCAGTTCATCTTTTCTCCTTAGTTTGTTTGGGTTGCTATAACAAAGTACTACAGACAGGGTAAACAACAGAATTTTTGCTCACAGTTCTGGAGGCTGGAAGTCTCAGATCAGGGTGTCAGCATGGTTTAGTTCTGGAGAGGGTTCTCTACTGTGCTGCAGGTTGCTGACTTCTTATCCTCACATGGTGGATAGAGGGGGAAAATGCTCTTTAGGGTCTCTTTCATAAAGTCACTAATTCCATTCATGAGGGCTCCACTCTCATGACCTCATCACCTCCCAAAGACCCACCTCCTAAGACTATCACATTGGGGTTAGGCTTTCTTTTCTTTTTTTTTTTTGGGTTGGAGTCTCACTCTGTCGCCCAGACTGGAGTGCAGTGGCCGCTCCCGGCCACCGCAGCCTTGACCTGCTGGGCCCTGGCGATCCTTCCGCCTCAGCCTTCCAAGTAGCCGGAACTACAGGCGTGCAATACCACTCCCAGCTAATTTTTGATTTATTGTAGAGACAAGATCTCGCCAAGTTGCCCAGGCGGGTCTCAAACCCTCAGGCTCAGGCCATCCACTCGCCCCGGCCTCCCAAATTTCTGGGATTACAGGCTGAGCCACCGAGCCCGGCCTGAAGACAGTTTAGATTGGCCGGGTAGTTCTGCCTACATGGCTGTTGAAGATCCTTTGCTCCATTCTCTTGTTACTCTGCTGTCTCCTAGGGAATTGACATTAGCTGCATGGTCCACACTGGGTTACCACGACGGCTGGGTTCCAACTGGAGGCAAGAGGACAAAGAATAAGGAAAAGTACACAGTCCAGTGTCTCAAAGTCCAGACTCAACAGTGGCACCCAATGTCTGTTCACCCTCCATTGGTGAGGACCAAAATAACCCCACCTAACTGCAAGGCATGCTGGGAAGTATGCCCAGTGAAGTCTATTATAACTATGGAGGAAAGAGAGAACAGATTTGGTAGACAGCAGTCCCTGCCACAACAACTTCTACAAGTTTCCAGTGCACATGTAAGCCTTTAATTGCTCTTTAACTATAAGAGAGCAAACTTTATAACACTGCTTTACATTTTGCTCTTTTTCACTTTAATTCTTTTTTTTTTTTTTTTTTTGAGCCATAGTCTCACTCTGTCGCCCAGGCTGGAGTGCAGTGGCATGCTCATGGCTACTGCAGCCTCAACTGGCTGGGCTCAGGCGATCCTTCTGCCTCAGCCTTTCAAGTAACTGTAGCTACAGGCACGCACCACCACGCCTGGCTAATTTTTAAATTTTATTGTAGAGATGAGGTCTCGCCAAGTTGTCCAGGTTGGTCTCGAACCCGTGGGCTCAGGCAGTCCTCTCACCTGGGCCTCCCAAAGTGCTGGTATTATAGGTGTGAGCGACAGTGCCCAGCCTTCACTTAATATTTACCAGAGTGCATATTTTTTCTTTTTTATGGCAGCACAGCACTTTTCATATGACTGCACCATGAGGCATTTTATTAGTCTTACATTACTGAACTTTTAGATTCTTCCAAACTTTTGCAGTTACAAATAATTCTATAATACTTATGTCTTTGTGTTCATATGCATGTAAACTTATAGAATAGAATAAAATAAAATAAGTTTAGCACAGTGATAATCAAAGAGTAATCTGAAGACCAGTGCTGATCTGCGAGCTGGATGTTACTGGTTTGTGATAAGATAAATACAGAAACTGAGAGTTTTATATTGATTTGAGATAGCCATGACATCCACAACTTATGATTCATGACAGGTTGGAAATTTTTAAAATCTGATTTTCTGCTGCAGATGGTTTAAGAAGTCCTGGTCTAGAAGTGAAATTACTGGGTCAAAGGGCTTATGCTGCTTTTTTTTTTTTGAGTGAGGGTCTCACTCTGTTGCACTGATCGAAGTGCAGTGGCACAATCATGGTCACCGAAACCTTGACCTCCTGGGCTCAGGCAGTCTTTCTGCCTCGGCCTCCCAAGTAGCTGAGACTACAGGTACATGCCACCATGCCCAGCTAATTTTTTGATTTATTGTAGAGACAAGGTCTTGCTATATTGCCCTGGCTGCTCTCGAACTCCTGGGTTCAAACAATCCTCTCGTCTCCGCCTCCCAAAGTGCTGAGATTACAGGCGTGAGCCACCATGCCCAGCCATGGCTTATGCATTTTAAATGTTTATAGATACTGCCAAATCGTCCTGTGAAGTGGTTGCTCAAATATATACTCTCACCAACAGTCTTGGCATAAAGATTTGAAAAATTCAAGTCAAGGAAGGTCGAATGTTGTGCTTTTCCAAGATAAAATAGATCATGCTCAGAGTCCATCTTGGGGTTCCTTCTTGGGGAATTAATAGAAGGGAACAATTTGGCACAGATTTGGCCTGCCAATTCAGTATGCTGTAAGAATAAGTGAGAAGTAACAGTCTAGAGCCCTTCTGGAACTGTGACATCTATTACATAAGGGAAGAAAGAGCTAGAAAAACCTATTTAGCATAGGTGTTGCTTTTATAATACTAACTGCCCAATGCAACATTTCATCAACTGTTACCGACTGGCAGAGGCTCACGGAATGAAGCGTGAGAAACCCCATGGGGAAGCATTGGTTGATCATTGAGATAAGCCTTAGTTTGATGCAATTCACCAAGTAAGTAATGATGGGGACATGGAGTGTTATTCAATAGGAGGCAGGGAGACTGGGCGTGGTGGTTCACATCTGTATTCCCAGTGCTTTGGGAGTTCGAGGTGGGAGGATCACTTGAGGTCAGGAAAAAAAAATGTAAAAAATAAAAAAGAATGGAGATTTCCTCTGTGAGAGTCTCCACTTGGCAGG